CACAACTACCTTACAATGTGGGCATCAAACCACGTGAGTATTTTAGGAGAGAAAATGGAGGCATGGGGGTTATGTAATAATTGTCCTGGGTGATATACTAAGTAAAAAAGCAATGCCAGAACTCAAAACATAAGACTCTGGTGCAAAAACCTGTGCTCTTAAATATTACACAGCACTAAACAAATCAATCTAAAGAAAAAGCATGGAACTAAGTTTATATTATACTGAATAATCTGACATTTTCTTATTGCTACATTTAACAAAACCGCACAGCTTACTGAATAAAATTTAGCCAAGTCCAAAATGCTGCGGCCCATCCTTAATTTTTCTAAAAAACATCCAGGAGAAACTTCTTTCCTGATTTTAGACCTTTCATAGCTTAAGACATGTCCTCTTAAACCTTACCTTTCTCATTCTCTACAGAGTACTAAATCTGAAAGTAACTTATTCATTATGTTTGGACATGATCTCAGAAAGAAAGATTCAAGGCACCATCTAAATTCTATTTCCTCAGCAATTAACCACTACCACATGATGCTTGGGAAAGAAAATTATATTTTGCTTATCCTTGAAACTCCCACTCTATCATATACAGAAATACATCATGCCAAGTTCAGGCTTTAAGTAATTACTATGACCAAAAAATTATTTAGTTTTATAATGTTATTAAGACAATAGTAATTATGAATATTTGTATAGTTCTTTACACTTTACAAAACACTTGTATACACAGTATATCCCTGGACCCTCCTGGAAATCCTATTAAGTAGATAGAGAATAAATCATGCCTCCATTTGGCAGTTAAAGAAATTCATGATGAAAGGAGTACAGTGATTTGCCCTAAGTCATTCAGCTGGTAAGTGACAGATTGGGATTTTAAAACAGGTCTTCTGGCTCCAAAGTCAACATTAATTCCCAGAAAATAAATATGTTACCACTGACTGCCAAAGCAGTTTTCTATCTGCCTACTTCAAGCTTTCTTTTTTCCTTAAACCTTCATGCCAGAAATGTTTAAATAAATCATTAGTTCCTCTAAAGTCTCTTCAGTACGAACCTGTGTTCATGAGCACTTAACTCAGCAAAATCTGCTACATGTTGTGCACAGAAAAGCATGTTTCACGGCTTCTACCTGGAGCCAGGCCTACCAGCAGCTACTCAGAAATCTCTGGAAACTTGGTGCTCTTAACAGTTACATTTGAGACAAGAGTCTTTATAGAACATTTTATATATTTTCTTGTCTGCCCTTGAAAAGACTGATCCAAAACAATTTAAAACTCCCTTGATTCAAAGTGAGAATTACTTACAGAGCATCAATCCTATAGTCAGGCCCTGTGTTAAGTGCTGATGATTCAAAGGCAAACACAGCCCTGAACTTCAAAGCAGGCACAGGAAAGGGCCAGCAGGGGTGGTCACAACCCCTTGAAAGGTGCAAAGGCAGATGTCTAAGGTGGGGCAATGCATGGTCCAGGAAGCCTTCAGGCAAAAATCTATGGAATACTCGGGCAGAGGACAGTAGTGCAGTCATGGAAGTAAGGAGAGAATCGTAGGCAGTCTCTGCAATACTCGTACCCAGAACTTGGTGCCTGAGAGAACTGAAGAATAGAAGGAAGTTGAAATTAAATGCCAGTCTATAAGACCAGAGAGGAGGAAGACACACTGCCAGGGCCAGACATATTAAGCATGAGAGAGGGCACCCCTGGAGAAGAGTAAAGGTAACTCAACAAGGAGAGGACACCAGGGACTTCCCTGGCAGTCCAGGGGTTAGGACTCCACGCTTCCATGGCAGGGAGCACAGGTTCGAGGAACTAAGATTCTGCAAGCCTTGGGGAGCGGCAAAAAAACAAACAAACGAACAAGGAGAGGGCACCAGAAAAGGAAACCAGTGCAGGCATGTGCGCACACGCACGCAGAACATTACATCACCTTGTCATCCTCTCATTTTGTAGATCAGGTAAAAATATTCCAATAGTTTTGATCACACATTACAGAATTAGAGCACTGGAGAGCATCCTGATGAGTCTTGTCATTTTGTGAGTGAGGAAACTGGTCACAGAAGTACGGTTCTTTGCCCAAAGCCACACACATCGGTAGCCGAGTAAGGACTAGAGCCCTGATCGCTGCTCCCTTGAGTCTGAGTCTGCCACACACGTTTCAGTGTTCACATGAATTTGTATTGCTTCTACCACCTTTCAAACCTTACTTCAAATATATTATGATGACGACTGAAGTGAATTTTAATGATAATAAAGTTTACCTCAAAATTATTTATGTTGCGCTAATATAATCGTTCCTTAGAGTCATTTATATCACTCTTTTCCTACACTAGTCATCCTAGTAAATGGAATGTAGATTAACTGTCATAATTCACTGCTATGTTTTATTTTTTTATCATTATAAATAATGGCCAAGGTTAAAGATAATAGTGATATTATAAATCTACTCTTAATGCATATAATGGAGTCTATATGCTTAAAAACTAATAGAGTAACTAAATACAGAAAATATAAATACATTCCAGAGAGAAAGAAATACTTTGGAATCCAGCGTACTCATTCTCACTCATAAACAGTGGTGCTCTCTCCCAAAGACACAAGACTCTATAATCAGTCTTATCCCAGACAGAATATTCTCCTCTAACCAATCTTTAGGTCACGACAATCCTTGTCCCGGGTGGAGGGGGGCGGGATCACCTTTCTTAATAAGAAAGCAGAGACTTCATGTCAACTCCTCTAATACTAAAACCTCAAATTAATGTCCTAGGCATTGTCATGAATTTCTCCAAACCTACAGGAAAGTTTTGCCACTAACTTTTCAGATTTTTTTTTTTTTTTTTTTTTGATTTTTTTTTTTTGGCTGCACCACACGTCTTGCAGGATCTTAGTTCTCTGACCGGGGATCCAACCCATGCCCCCTAGAGTGGAAGCACGGAGTCCTAAACACTGGACTGCTGAGGAATTCCCTAACTTTTCATATTTCTTAAGGGAAGTATAGTATATAGTTGCCTATATACTAGATTTCACCAAGATGTTGAATCTACCAATTTCACATAATTTTATCCACAACAAAACAGAGGATCAGAAAGATCATGGGGATAACTATGCAGCTAAAAAACCACCCAGGAGCCTACACATTGTTTAAAATATGTCTCTGAGTCTCTCAAAGCCAAGTCCCCAAAGTACTAAAGGATGACACTCCAACAGACGCTACAGTGGGTGCTGAAGAAATATGACAGACTCACAGGTTCTAAAGTTTGTGCTCACAGCTGGTCCTCGACAAACACCTTGTAAGGAATTATTTCTTTACCCCATTCTGTCACCAAAGCCTCTCTAGGTCCTAGACCACCTATTAAAAATGTTTACATTTTATTTATTCCATTAAGAGAGCAGAATGCTTAGAATTTCTCAAACAAAATGTGTAAGTAAAACACTGTTAAAAATAAGTTACACAGCTTCTCACTAACTTTTTTCAGATCCTAAAACTCCACAGCAAACCAGAAAATACCTGGATTTCTCTTCTATGTCCTAAGAGCTTTGCCCTTGCTCCTAAAGCTTTCCTGCTGATTAAATGTCATTTTTGATCATTATGAACTTTTGCTATATTTGAATTTGCTGGAGAAAGCTTACAACTTCACACTTTGCCAAATGACAAAACCTCAAGGGCAACTAATGGCAAGATGGGGATAGAAATTATACACTGTACTCAACACCTGATCAGCAGGAGAACTTGAAAAGAGGCCATTATCTTTAAACTGGAGGCAAGAAATCTACCGGGCTAACACAAGCACCTGAAGAACATCCCATCCTGTCCCAGCAGAATACCAGCAGAAACATTGTATTCCCTGGCTTGTCAAGTAGATACTTCATAAGCTTCTGTCTCTGAATTATTCTGCATGTATGTGTACTTTACAAAATACAACTGATATTGAAACTCTCTTAAGACTAAAACCCACAAAAACAAGTTCAAACGTGAAACTGGCTGACCACAAAGGACTCCAGGGTGATTGACAGACTAATAATTACAAATGTGTAATTATTTGATGCATTACATATGATGCATTCTACAGAGCAATAAATCTTAAAATCGTTGCTCAGAAAGATGAGGAAAGAGGCTCACAAACACAGGAAATTCCAAGTTAAGAACACATATTCACATTAACTTATTCTTTTCCCCACATCCATCATACAAAGAGCAATAAAAGGCCTCCTGATTCATCCCTCCTCTCTCTCTAGCCACCACATACTAAATGGAACTTGTCATTTATTCAGAGGGGACTAGACCAGAAAATCATTAGGATTACTTGATACTCTACATCCAGGAAGTCAATTTTCACTCCTAACTGCTGCCCACATACTTTCCAGCAAATCTCAGAGAAGTAAAGATGCCAAACAAATTCTTTTTTTTTTTAATTTATTTATTTTATTTATTATTTATTTTTGGCTGCATTGGGTCTTCATTGCTGCACACGGGCCTTCTCTAGTTGCGGTGAGCAGGGGCTACTCTTCCTTGCAGTGCATGGGCTTCAGTAGTTGTGGCTCACAGGCTCCAGAGCACAGGCTCAGTAGTTGTGGCTCATGGGCTCTAGAACGCAGGCTCAGTAGTTGTGGCACACGGGCTTAGTTGCTCCGTGGCATGGGGGATCTTCCCGGACCAGGGCTCGAACCCGTGTCCCCTGCACTGGCAGGCGGATTCTTAACCACTGCGCCACCAGGGAAGTCCCAAACAAATTCTTTGAGACTAAATACCTATCAATTCATGGCCCACAAAAGGGGTCTACAGGCAATTTTAGATATACAAGTCACCATCAGCTTTATGGTTTTGAGCAAAACCCTAGGCGGAGTGGAAGACTCTGTAATAATTAATTGTTACAGTCAAAAAAAACTTTCTTACAGCTCATATAAATCTGAATCCACCAGATAAAGGGAAAAAATTCATCTTCAATGGGTTCATATTGCCCAAATTTCAAAACTCCAAAGCAAATGAATATTAAACATGCAACTTACCAAGACTTGGGCTCTCCAAAGTGGAGATAATTAATGCTGTAGAGGTCCATATCCTCGGTGTGCCACGCAAATGTGGTTTTCCACATGCCAAAATAGAGATAAGGAGTATTTACACCCTCAATAGAAATACCGCACTCTTCCTCAACCACATCCAAGACTGTGTTTAGGTGAGCTATGTTCCATTCATCCACACCCTAGAATCAGAGGAGAGAGGAAAATAAAAGCAAACATTAATAAACTCATAAAGATAACATTTACTGCTCAAAACATCATCTGCCAAAAGTATTACACTGTGTATTTTAATTCACTTAGAAATAAAAAATAAAGCAACAATTATCCAAGGCACGCACGTGCACACACACACACACACACACACACACACACATATTTATACAGATCCATGATTAATCATCCAAGATTACTACCAACGTAATGTGGCTCTATATAAACATTAGTATAAAATTGTACCAAACGACAGAGAATTAAGGCCCCACTCCCCATTTGCTGTTAGTAAGAAAAATCATTGATTCAAAGCATGTGATCTGGAGCATGCTTTCCATCATTGGCACACCATTTAGTTTTGGGGGTTTCCTGGTTTTTAGCTTGCTTGTTTATTTGTACATTACTTAAGAAGTCATATTAACATCAGACATCATCTCAAGATACCACTAACAAAATATATCTTCTGTCATCCCTCTCTCATCCCCACCCATTTCAGTTTTGGCATGTGATACATCATTTCCTGAAAATTCAACTCTAATTATTGGGAAAATTCTTAGCACTATTCTAAGCCACAGATCATTATGCTTTTACTGCTTCTTCAACTAAACATTAGCCTCTTATGTTGATGGGAAATTTTAAACAAAGAATAACTGCTAAAAATACTTATCCAAACTCTGGCAAAATTTCTGGAATAGTGTAGTTTTATAACAGTAACCCAACATGACTGGTGATAGAAACAGACAGAAAAGTTTGAGTCACTGATGTAAAAGTTAAAGTGGCAGGAAAAGATTCCAGTTTTATTAAAACTTACCAATCTCTTATTAATTCAGTGTAATTCACAGCTGCTTACCATTTTTACCAACTATGTATTTTTCCCATATACTTTTCTAATAATCAAATTCTAAATATCAGAGATTAGGTCCATTTTTATGCAATCATGAGTAAATGGCAATGTCTTTAAAACTAGTTCAACCTCTTCATGGTGCTATTAAAGAGGGACATTAAATTTATTTATGTATACCCAAAAGGCCTTCTCCAATAACTATGCCAACAGCCTCCCAGACAACCATGTCTAATAGTTCCCTTATGCACTAAAAACTTTCAGGGCTGTTCTGTTTTCATTCTGGTCTTTAGATGACAATATAATCAGTGTCGTGATCTTACTTCCTTGAGCTTTTGGGTCAGGAAAATTGTTGATGGGGCAGTTAATGAAGTTCTGCCTCAGGTAATATAATTGAAAGTGCCAGGGAAATAATTTAATTCCCAAATTCCCCAAGGTAGCCACTCTATCTACAACTTAAACCCCACAGTAGGAAGTTTGCTACTTGGAAATTGTTCAAAGTAAGTATCCTTTTAGAGAAGATCCTAGGTTCCAACTTACAAGACCTCATAAAAGTTCAATCAAATCATGTAAAATATTTTATCTCACTCTATTTATAGTGATACAATCTCTTAACTCTAGTCCAATCAGACTTCAGTCCAATCACTCTAATAATACAGTCCTATTTAAAAGTCATTTCTGAGGCAATGAATATGAAGTAATAAATGAGTACCATATTATAGGAATCATTTTTAAACTGAATGAGCTTGCAAATTTAGGAACAAACCATCCCTCTGAAATTCCTGCATTTGGAGAAGTCTTATCTTTGTTTCTGACTGATACTATCTTTCAGAAATAACTGAGGCTGAATCCCTTGACATGCCTAGACCTGTGGGTCTAAAGGGATGAGGGAAGAGAAGAATGAGTGATGGCAAAAAGACCCAGATTATGGCTCCAGCTCTGCCACTGCCCAGGGCAAAAATCACCAAGATTTTCTGAGTTTCTAGTCTTTCTTCGTGAAAGCCTGAGGGCTACAGTACCCTCCCAGAGCTGTTCAGAGTACTGAATAGGCTGAAGGACATAAAACCTTTGGAAAAATAAAATTTACTATGGCTTAGAACTGATTAAATAAACGTCTCCACTATTCTCTAGTAAATCTTACTGGAAAGCCTCTACCAAAACAAAAGCCAAAGACATGGTAAGTGATAATAAAGTCCTATGAAACTTACTATTGAAATTCTCCCCATTAATGGGCAAATCATATGTCTGCAGCAGTTTCTTTTGGGCAAGGCCAAGATTGCCATGATGTTTAAGCTTAATTTCTTTTGCTAAAATAAAAAGTCATATAATTTTAATAAAAGAGGTTATTAAAATATTAAGAATAACTGGTATAACAGAGGCTGAGAATAAATCTTACTATTTCCAAATTCCTTCTCCAGTTTCTGCTCTCTACTATTGATTGAACTGGCTAGCTGCCTCCAAGGACAGGTTCTACTCAAACTCTGAAGAGCACCAGGTCTCCTTCAGAGATTCAGACAAGGAGTACACCTCATTTGTCATTTAGGAGAAGTGTGACACCACAGTCTACCTCACTACTCTACACATACATATACACTACATCTATTCAAGACAATTCTGTAACACAGGTAACATTATACCCAAATGAACAAATGGAAAAAAAACCAGTGCTCCTAGAAGAGTGGGAGGCAAAGATAAACCTAAATCTACCTGACTCTAGGCTTTCACTTATAAACTCTACGCTTCCAGTTCTGACCATGTTAAATACAGCATATCATCCTTTTCTCTCAGCATCAATTATCAACAAAGATCCAAGGAACTAAAATTTAGGACAGGCAAACATATAAAACTGCTACCTTCTTCCCACCCAGGCATACAGCCGCCCTACACAAACACTGGCAAAGCCTATAAGAAAAGCTGCTTCACTTGGGAGTTGGTGATAGAATTTAGTGTAAAAGTAGCCTCCAGAAAGACCCCAGCTACAAACAAGCCCCAAAATGACAGGTCGAAATGTGCCAAACCATTCAAAGCTTAAAGCTGTCAAGTCTCTGCAGAAAAGTCTGCACACCAGCCCAAGTTCATAGACAAATGCCTCTTCCCAGATCCCATCCCTTCATATAAAGCTCTTCTACACAATGTCCAGCAGTTGCTTATCTGCAATATCTGGAACTCACCTGACCTCCACTGGGCAGACGTTTCCTCCCTGGTCCCACCCCTCCCTTCATCCCAATAACCCAGTGCATTCTAAGCCTGCCCTGCCCTGTTTGTCTATTTACCCTGTATCTGCCTGGTTTTCTGAAATAATTCACCATTGGACCATAATTTGTACACATATGTGTAAAAGAGAAGTTTATCAAGGATCTTTCCTTTCAATCTCTGTATCATCAGCCTATCAAGAATCAGATGGCAATTTGAAAGAACTCCTAAATTTTCATTACCATAGGCACTCAGGAGCTGCTTGAAGACCAGGCTTTGGACTTCGGACTTCACAGAGGAAGTAAGCACCCCCAAACTGGCATCAGCATGAACGATGCATCTATAAACCTATGCAGAAAGACTGTGCCAAGTTTGAGCTCACGCCCTTGAGCTCTGGGCCTGGGGCCCTGAACACAGGCCACATCCAGGCCAGGAGCACCTTCTTCCCGGGACAATGAGCATCCGGGATTCCCTCTTGAGTGAAGGCACTCAGTCACTGCGAGACTGAAGGAGGACAGGGCAGCAACATGCCACATTAGAAAACTTACCAGGAAGGAGTCGTTCCCACCTGATACAGAGAAATAACGCAAAAATCATAGCAAACCAATTCTTCCCAAAATAACCTTCTGAGGAACACTACTTCTACAAGAGGCTGTGGTCAAAAAACTCTGGCATCCTTTTCTCCTCCTCTTACAAAGTTACAGTGCCAACAGGCACTCCGAAGGTTCTGAGAGGCCATGCTATAAGGAAGCCTGTTTCACTTTGCTTAACTCCACTTTTCCCAGATGTGATTTGACCACGGGACCTTGTTTACGTAAGACATTAGTATCTTTCCTCAACAATGTCAATATCCAGCCCACATGTTTCTCCTCCCCTGCCCACGGGCCCTGCCCCGACTCCTGCCATCATCCTCAGCACCTTCAACGTTATCCCCACGGGGCTCTTTCCAAACAATGCTCTGAGCCTCCATCTCTCTACAGCTTCACTGCCACACGCCCAGCTCTAAGCTGGACTCAAAGTGACCAGCAATAATTTCTGAAATCTATAAATTTATGGGGAAAAACATCATTTCATTAGAAAATCCAATTATTAAAAAAAGAAGATCCACCTCCTAGGTACTGTAAAACGCTGAGAAAACACTAAAAGAAATTATTAAAGATTCTAACTAAAGTTTTCAGGTACTTTTATTTAGTATTTTTTAAAAGATTATGCTTTCCTCATTTGGCTCTAATCATCACTTTCTATGACCCTTAATGCAGTCCAGCCAACACCTACTGTGTACTGTGATCCAAACAAAAGACCATCCACCCAATTTCCACTTACTTTAAAGCTAGGCTAATGTAAATTACTGCCACCAATTCATATGCCTGTAACAAGCCCTTGAAGTTTCAAAGGTAATGCAAATGAAGAAAGAAAAATAAAACTTGGTTAGTTTTAAAGACTTCAAAATTCAATCCATTTTGCACAGTAATGTGTGAAAATTGCACCTTTCAATAACTAAAACGAAAGCTCTGGTCACATTTTAAAATAGAGGATTTCGTTAGGATCTTTACACAGTAAGAATAAAATTAGACCCATGTGAAATTCAATTTGCTTTAAAGTTAATTACAATGTGTGATGTGATAGCTCCTTTTGTTTCTTCCTTTCCATGAAAATATCACATTCTCTAAACTTTCTACTTTTAAAACAAACCTCTTTTCCTTTTTGCATTTTTACACACCAAAATACCTACAATTTTACAGCAGTGCTTTCTTTTCTTTCTGAAAGTCTAGACAATAACCAATGTAGAGCAAATTCTGAAGTAACAAAAAAAAATCTGCAACAGAAAGTACCATATAAAAAGACTGTTCACCTTAAAAAGGTAAATATGAGTACGACAAGAAGGCGGGCAGAGAAGAAAAGGGGGGAAATGCCCAGTCAAATAAAAGATTGCAGAGA